AAGCGGGGCCTGGCTAAGCGAACTAGAGTGCCATTGTAGGGCGGATAGCGGAGCAGAGCCGAGGACTGGCCACCGGTGGGGCCAGCGTGTGGGGGCGTGGGGGCAGAATTTGTAGCCCCTTCCCGATTTGGAACCGGGGGCAGAATCTGTTCACATGTTCCGGCATGTGGCACGGAATCAGCGAATCCTGCCCGTGTCCGTTCTGGAACGCTCGACAAATCGTCCCGGCTCTGAGGCGCGACTGCCATGCTGGCGCCAGAGCCCGGCAACCCCAGCCCCAGCCCCAACCCCAGCCCCAAGCGCAGAGTCCACGCACGCTCCACTCACAGCGGTCGAGCATCATGCTCGGAGCTTTGGATCTTAGCGCCGGGGCTTGGGCTAATGGCTTCGTCCCGTCACATGCAGAGACATGTGAACTCAGAATCTGCGAATCAGGATGGGTGCTTCACAAGCGCTCGGACCATCACGAGCGAACCACTTGGCCTCGACCGCATCTTCCTTCCGTCATCGATCCCCCGCTGCGGGGGCAGGGCTTGATTTCCCCCGTCGACGTAATTCTTCCTTGCTTCGAAAAACGTCGAGCGGGCGCGTGGGTCTGATCTTCGAGAGCGCGCTCTGGCGAATCGGGGCGGGGCTAATAATGTTGTGACCATCTCGCGCAAGCGGCAGCGGCAGCCACGGCTGCTCTGCTACTAATTGCACAGGGATCGCGCCTACGGAGTCCCAGCCCGCAGACCACGAGATCGATCCCAGCGCTGGGAATTCAGTGGATCCGGCGAATTCGTTCGATGAGAACGTGTAATCGTCGCAGACGCCGGGGGGCTGCACGAATGAACGAGACGGTCAACTGCGTGAACTTCCAGAAAGCAGGGGCTCGAAAGTTTCGAAATGTGACTCGCCGCCTTGTGCCGAATCACGGGCAGCGAATGAACGGGGGCAAGCCCGCGCGGGGGCTTGATGGGCGCCGCGAGGTGCAGGAAGCGAAGCCGAGGCAAAGCCCGCGAAGGGAGGGAGGGAGGTGGCGGTAGGGTCCGGGGCCGGGGCCGGGGCTTGGGCCGGGGGATGGGGTAAGGGTGGGGGTGGGGGTAATGGGTGGGGGGTGGCATCTTGCCACTGCCGTAGCTCGAGTCATCGAGGGCTTGTTTCGGGTCGAGAGGAGAACACGACCTTTCATGGCGCTCTCGAGTCATCGTGCTACCAAATCGATGGGGCTGGGGCTGGTGCTGGTGGTGCAGCAGAAGCGACGGCAGATGGGCGAGAAGAAATGGGCGAGCGACCTCTAAGACGGGCAATGGGCGAGCGACCAATGCTGATAACTTTGTGGTGAAGTAATGGGGCCTCGGGGAGATCCGCCAGGCGTTCGTTTGACCGGTCGGAGTTGGTTTCGACCCGAGATCGCGCAGCTCGAGGAATCTGATCACGTGATTTGTCGAGTTTTTGTTGTTGTGTTGGATCTACAGCGACGCCTACATATTCGAATTGCCTTGACTGCTCACTCCACAGGCTGCTCGACACTCAACCGGGCCTAAGACGGAACGAGAATCATGAACCATCTAATACGACAGCCTCGACCTCGTCACTCTCGTCCTCCGCTTGAATCATCGCAAAAGTTCCCATTCCCCGACCCGCCCTTTTATCCATTCATCTCCCCGCACGTACATCGCTCTCTCCCCCCGTGATCCCCCTCCTTGTGCCGAGCGAATTGCAATCGCCCAGCTCTGCTGCTGACCTTCCACCCTCCCCTTCATGTATATTCACCTGCTGCTCTCGACACTCCACTCCACTCCACTGCACTCCCCCCCGCCCCTAAACCCTACCCCCACCCCCACCCCCAACCCCAACCCCACCCCCCTGGACCTTAACAGAACGCCCTCCTCCCTTTCCCTTTCCCTCCCTTCCCTGGCAAGAACCCCCTCCCCTTTCTCTCGCTATCACCTCGAGCGTGCAAAAAGAAATCCGGTGCTGCCGACGAGGTCGCTAGCCATGACTTTTCGGGGCTTGCTTCCTTCCTTTCGGCGAGGCCCCGGCCAGCCCCCGGGCTCGCGAAACTTTTCACGATCGGGTAAAGATGGGCGGGCACTTTTACGACGGGGTTCAAGAGAGTACTGGAACCTGCGAGCGCGTCAGCGGCTGTCGTCACAACGAGGCTCTAATGGGCGCATGTCTAGAGAGAGGGCTTTTGTGCAGCCCCAGCCCCAGTCCCAGCCACAGCCCCAGCCAGCCCCTGGCGCTCCCCCCGCCCAGCCCCGACTTTTCCCGTTGGGAGCGCCTGCACCTCTGATTTTTTTTCCCTTTTTTCGAGCTGTAGCTGGACGCTAGGGCGGAAGGCAGGCGTAGCTGCTCGAGCTAGCCTCTAGACCCCTCGCCCTGCGCTCTTGTGTGTACAGTATAGCTCGACCGGTACGAATCAGCACATCGTCAACCCCCCATTCGCCTCCGTCGCCAGGAACGTTCGTCGGAAGGATCGCGCTTTCTCGATTCGCCTGCCGCGCCCCCTTCAGTCTTGCAGATTTGATGCCCCACCCCTTGCCCCCTCGTCACAACGTCTGAAGATTTTATCCCCCTTCGTCTTCCCGTGCTTCGTTTCTGAGCCCAAACCTCGGCCATAATATATGTACGACTTGATGGGCTCATACCCGACCCCCCCCCCCCCCCCCCCCCACCACCCTTTCTGCTGTATTACATGGAATTTAATTGTTAAGTTATATATATATATATACATAAATATATATGTGAATGAGATATGTGATGGTTTGCCCCACTATGATATCGTTCATTCATTTGTTGGTGCGGACGATAGGATGCGTTGGGGTCAGAACTGACAGACAGCAGGGCTTCGGACAGAGGCAGGGGCTGGGGGTGGCGGGGGGACGACGACGATGATGATGAGGATGATGGGGGGTCGACGGGGGGAGGGACTCGGAGCGAGGGGCAACGAGGGAACGAGGGCAGGACGGGGGGTGGGCTAATGGACCTCTCGGTCCACGAAGGTTTGTTTACCGACTTCGGGCCTTTGCCGACGTGGAAAATTGGTGACGTGGCTGACGTCTCCATTGACCTTATCGGTGTATATTCAACAGCGTTGAAACCACGTCACCACCTTCATGGCTCGCACGTGGGCTAGGTCATCCGATGCTTCCATGTCAGCATTCTGCCACGTGCCCCCGTGGTGCTGATCTCGTCCGTATCCCCGGCCGGCAGTCCGTCGCCCGGTGACCTCAAACGAAATCCGATCGCCTCCTCCACTTTCTCTCCTTCTGGAACGACTTTCCCCTCCGCCCCCTCGGCGTATTCCGTCGTCGTATGACTGACCATTCGTATGAAAAACCGTATAATACTATATCTTTACATGGCCCCAAGCATTGTGCATGAATTTTTGACAGTGGGCCCCCGGAATTCCCTTTCATGCATAGTCATGTCCTGCGATAATGAACGAAATAGGACAACCTCGTAATAAAGATGGTGTTGACTGCATTCCTTAGGTTCCAAGCGAGAGCAATAGTTTTCCCCTTTGGCCCTTAGCGCTTTTCTTCATGCAAGATCTCGTGAGATTTTCGATTTTCGATTTTTTAATTGAAGTATGAATGGAAAAAAACCCATGTTCATCGAGATGGAGGAGACAAACTTTCGAAGCCACTGTAGTTTCTGAGGACAGAAATATCTCGCCGTTTGTGATGGACGACGAGAACGTAGTAAAGAGGCCGATAATTATAAGAAAGATTTGTTTTGAGCCACTGGGCATATGGATTTTGATTTGGCACTCCATGGAGAAATCATTGATCAGATCGTAGTACATGCTGAAGAAGTTCGGTTCGAGCAAATCTGGGAAACCTCTGGTGTCAAATTGAGCTGAATCGATCGGGATATATACGATTTCCTCAAATATGCTTTCACATGTACGAGATTATCCAAGATATATCCTTCGTGGGCGCAATCATTCGTGATAAATCACAGTCATGGCCGAAAGAAATGCAAGGGAAAAGACAACTAATGAAGTCGGAGGAGAACATTTAAAGATATCCTTTCTCAGTGCATGAGTAAAATTCGAGCAATCGATTACATGGCACACATCCACATGCTGATGTTCTGCATAAAGTGTGGACATTATACATGTCTGAAGTGTACTTTAATCATGCCTGAAAAGTGGAAAGTTCCAGTGAACCCGAGTCAGGGATGAAAGGCCCAAGGAACCATGCTATACGGGACAATTGAAGTTTCAAACACCATCACTGCTCGATCGAAAGCCATCATGGATTGCATATTTTAACTGTGGCCCTTTGATCGACACTTATACCACTACATACCACTACAACCTAAGGACTGTAGACCACGTGGTGGATATCCGTACCTGCAGAAACACATTGCTGCGTCATGGCTGGTCTTCGCTCAGAGAGAAATCCGGGGTCCCATGGTCTGAAAATCATTGCATATTTGTGCGGTAGGTGCACGAAGGGTCTGCATCCAGGCCGGACCCCATGAGTGACACCAAGGATGGAAAATACAGGAGCATACTTCTACTTCCATGATATAGGTATCAAAGTTGGTTTCCTGTTATTAAATTTCAATTACCACAAAGAAAACACTTCGCCACGCTAGAGGCTCGGATTTAAGCGATACCTCTTTGCGGTGCATTGAATGCCCAGGTATGAGTCTACTTCGGGTGGATGTACTGGATGTGGTTGTAGTAAATAGATGTTGAATACCCGTACTGGTGATCCACAGGAAATGTGAATAGCATCCAACGACATCCTAGCTTCCCGGAAACCATGCTGGGTGTTAAATCCCAAAGCAATACAACTTGATGCATGTCTCACGATGCGCCAACTTTGACGATTACTGTAGGGCCGGTAAGGACAAACCATGAACTTCTGTATGTTACTGATCAGTCATCTGAACAGTACTAAATTTCAGTTCATTCGAAACGAGCACTGAACCTCCAGTCTTGTATCATTCCTCCAGTGACTATCGCGTCTTTTGGTGTGTTTTTTTGTCTTCACCAATTGAATGATAAATACATGCACGTCCAGCTAAGATGACAATTACTGACGACAGCAGCTCAACTTATTGCTCATTTGCTCACTAGTTTCATTTCGTCGTGAAAAGTACTTTCAATATTTATTATGGAGACCAGTTGAAAGCCCAACACGTCTTCCGTCATGATTGATTCAGAGTTGACAATTCTAGGAAATGTTGTGACTGAAAAGTTTCGACATTTTCAGGACAAGCGCGCAGAATTGTGATATTTCACTGAATATGCATCTTCTTTCTTCCAATTTCTCATCTCAAATTCAGTGACCCTCATTCCCGTTGTACTGTTCGCCTAACCCTGCGAACAAGTTCATTTTCACAAAATTAGTATAAGTGCTGCTGCAACATCAACGTCACATCTAAAAGACTCATACTGAATAACAACGATAATACTCACGGATAAATCAAGACCTACACGTTCTACGATCAAGAACTTGGTTCAGAATCAGAATCGATATTATCAGGACATGTTCTCAAAGCCTAAAAGTGACAAAATATAGAATCAAACTCAGCTACACAAAAGAATTCTCCTGATCGGCTGACTAGCATATGATTAAGTGGCAAAGCTAAACGTCCTTTATCGATGGCGTTGGTAATGGAAAAGGAGAAACTGCATAGCATGATCTGAAAAGAGAATTATATACTAACTCAAGGAACGGCCGAGGGACGCAAACGTAACTCTCATTGTGGCTGAATTAGGCAACTGAACATGATGTCTAAGTAGCTGGAAGTTGCCGATCCTCTCGGACTGAAAGCACAGAAAGCGCATTCATTTCTTACCTCAAAACGCTCGGAAAGTTAGCATCCTGATTGGTTTGAAATCTCAATCCCACTCACGTTCCCTGTCCTACTGAAGAGTTTCCAGCAGCAGCTGCTGGTACGCCCAAGCCTGTAGCCATACGACCTGCAGCTTCGGCTTCAGTTGGTTCACGTTTACTTTGGTCTGCTGAAGTAACCTCATCGTTTATTTCTACAAGTTCGTCAATCTTCTTGAATTGCCAGGGCCAGCGAGTATTGTAAAGAAACTGTCGAAGATCAAAACGATTATCTTCGGGTGAATAGTTCTGTATGATACACATAACAAATGCACCGTTAATGAAACTAAAGACGAAGCAATAAATAGCCATACATCTCAGGAAATATATCGCAATACGAGTCAGTCACGAAATCAGAATCTCCGCTATAGGAACAATTCTATATCTCCAAGAAAAGTAAACAAGCAGCACCTCATGGAGATTACCCAAAAAAAAAAACGTTGAGCATACCTCAGCATGATATGAAGGTGTAAGTGTAGTCATCTTATGTCTATTCATCGAGTAAAATCGGAAGAAATCTTTCACTTTAACTGCCACTTCTGCAGGAGTATGTCTACCTTGCCAACGGTGGCATAGGTGCTGTTACGAGTACCAGCAGGACAATGAGCTTGTCAGAATTGTGGAGACGAGTAAAAAGCAGCTTTGATAACATTGCTCACCACCAGAGTGTTGAGGTTAATGACAAAACCATACAGCTGGAAACCCAGATCACAAGAACATCCTGTACAGAACCAGACTCAGAAGTGAAAAATAGTATCATCAACCTTAAGCTAGGTGTACATGCAAATGATCAAATGACGAGGATTTCGAGTAAACCTTGAACATGGAAACAGGTCCACACTCGAACACCTTGCGTAAGCGTCCATACATGCCAAGTTCTTCATAAGTCATACCCATATCAGCTTCGTCGCTCTGTATAAATCAAACGGGCCGTTGTTTATACGGGTCAGTCACGTTATGTAGTTATCACTTCCTGAGAACAAATTGTGCACATTCTACCTGATGATCATGACCGTAAACACGAGTCTGGGCATATGAATTTGATTCTTCAGAGTTGAAACCAACATTTAACAAAACACAAATTATAGTCAGAAGATTCCTCAGGTTGAAGGTCAAGGAAAACGATTTACCTGTGTATAGTCCGCAGTAATGGGTTCTAGTTCTGCTGTAGGAACGGCTGTCTCAACAAGAAGTAAGCTTGGATAACCAAGATTATTCGCACCCCACCTTAGAAAGGAGCGCAAATCCTGTTTACTGATACCACCAATAGGATTGATATCGGCTGAACTGCAATCGTACTGCCACGTACACATCACCACTCAGTTGTATTGTCATGCCCAAAAAGAATCAAAGCTCTTATAAAAGCTCCAAATACAAGAAATACCCACTCAGATTCTACGACATCTAATCTACGAACAGACTGATGTTACTTGACGGTTAAGGTGCATCGTCATATCATGAGTCCCAATCCGATACTGCAGCCCTAATGGTTAATATCTTCGCGGCTTGCAGATTGCATAAAAAACGTTTCAAGTTCTTTTTGAATTTTCATAACCTATATACGATTCGAGTTCATCGTGCCGACCTTCTGTTACAACGTTTACAAACGACCCGTCATTTGCACATAGAGCTTATTGTAGACCTACTTGAAAACCTTCCTTATCCCCAAATGTAAAACTGAATGCGAAGTGAAGTGATTGTCGATCTCAGAGTCAGTATTTTGCTCTTCTTAGCCTTGAAGTAACTGTAGTAAGTAGTAAAAGTTAATTCCTAACTTTAACCACGACTAAATACTAAATTACTTTATGGCTCAAGTACAGTCTAGGAGAATCAGCCACCTTAAGATCAAGCTTTCGAATTAGGACCACAGGCTCAAGTTTGAGCTATGAAATTTGTAAAGTTTGAGCAATGAAATCTATATATGTTGCTAGTCTGACTGTTAAAAACGCAATGAAGAGTACACTTGCCAGGGATCAATTTTCAGATACTGATTACTCGTTTGAGTACTCAATTGTTGAGAAATGGGGGTCGAGTTAGCATTGTAGATGTAATTCGAGTTGTTCAATTCGAGTGTTGGGAGTCCTACCTAAATAGTTCTACTTATTAAGGTGACGAGGAGTAGCAAGCTATGGCTATTATAGGAGAGTAAATAGGAGCAGCGTTTAATGCTGATGATACATCTAGAAGACATCCTGATCAACTGCTTCGACAGAGCTCAGAGTATCAAAGCAAAAGCATGAACTTTTAAATCATTTTAACCTTAGTGAACTCATCTTTCGTAAACTTGCACTCACTTACTGGCGTCTCTCGTAAAGACGTAGCATGTATTGCAGTAGACATGAAATTAAACAAAGAGATAAAAAATGTGTCGTAAGACACAAAGCTTTGCAATTATCACTTTGATAGTTCTTAACACAAGAGAAATGAAGACAATAATGCTGGACCATCAGAATACCTGTATAAACCAGGACTCAACACACTTCAAGAACATGACTGAAGTCTTGCCTTGGTAAGATAACCACGAAGGCCTTCATCAACGTTGGCGCTACCAAGAACGAGTAAGAAACCGGATTTTTTCCGTATCCAAGGTAAGAGAGAAGCAAACATGAATGCTATGACCATGCGAATCCGAGCTTGTATATTCTGCAGCGCCAGATTTTCTGGCTGACTACCTCCAGCCACCTGTACCCATACAAGAAAGATTAAATCTCCACAAACTGGTACATCACAGTCTTCGAACGAAGCAGTGGATACATAAAGAGGTATATAAATAGGGAAGGAAGCACCTTATATCGAGGCATACACCCCGTTACGGTCGAAAAGAGTGTCAGAAGAGCTGACACCACAAGGTCAATCTTGATATTCAGGTGAGACGACCCAACTTCTCTTGCAAGCTGTTCGGCTCTCTTTCTAGTCTCGTCCGAGCTGCAGTCAAGACACAACCTGCGTAAGAAAACTATTTGGCGAGCGGTCTAAACTTGTGGGATGCTGCCCACGACTTGTGCTATACTCATTCATTTTGACCATAAGCACTGAGAGAAGCAGTCTATAGTGAATAGTATCTGGATGATGGATTTTATTATATACGAAGCTAAGTTTACTAATATAGTTTCTCGGTGCCTAAGTATTCAAACATGTTGAAGATTTCCGCACGATTCTTCTTTTCTTACGACTGTACATATCGGATCAGTTCTTGTCCAACCCAGGTCAGAATGAAATTGATCTGTTAACAAGTCCTCACCTGGCATAACGGATATACCTTTATTAAAGGTACATCACTGAACGTTTTTGAGCCCATTGGCAAATAACTTGAAGGTACTCAGAGGTGCAACCTTAAACATGCCATCTCTTGTAGATATCTCGGCCAGTTTTGGGGCAAGATGTCCTCTTGAATTTTCTTTGTTTTACACACTAGTCTTACAACTCTTAAAGGTGAAGATAGTGGAGGTAAATAAGGACCTGTTTTCTGATCCCATGTACATGGTATGAAGCAATCGACCGGCGAACTCTTGAGCAGATTCCGGCATTTCGTCATCCTTGTACTGCCCAATACGTAGAGCGTCTGACAAAACTTGCTGATTACCTTCCTGAATGGCTGCCAACAACTTGAAGTCATTCTTAGGCAACCTCCTTGAAAGTTGTAATCTACCCAAAACTTATATGCAAAACTAGTAACCCCTGGAATTAGTTGCAGCCGTCTATTCAATTCCAGGATTTAATTCACAGAATTCCAAGTTCCTATGGGTGTATTTTTGAGGTAATCAGAAACTCCTCATTCACAGAATAGTCTTACTTATAACCGAATACAATAAAGCTCGGCGAAATGTGTTATGATGCGAACCTTTAATTACGAGTTGACACATAGAGCCCACAATTGCAGCAACTGACGAGCTGTCAGCACCTCCAGAAAGAGGGAGCAGATATCCTGTTGCTCCACTACGCCTCAAATAATCCCACAACCAACACGCAGGTCCCAGGGCAATTTCCTCAGGTGGATTATGATATCGAACCTGGCATCAGAAACTCAAGCATGCTTAAAGCTCAAGACAAATGATGTAGCCTTCGAATGCACAATCAAGACTTCACTAAGTCCTGTAACGGGTTTCGAGGCCAACAAGAAAGAGAAATAAGTCGCAAAGGTAACTAGAGGATAGTCTTACCTCTACAGGTAAGGTAGCAAATTCGGAGAGCATATTGCTCGACTTTGAAAGCTTGAAATCAACTTTCACGTAAGGAAGCTTAGGAAGAAGAGCACTCGCTTGTTCTCTAAGACTGCTCCCTGCTCCTCTATAACTCACAACCTGGGACACAACATGAAGTAAGTACTTTTCATTTGGAACTGTGCCAGGTTTAAAACGTCGGATTGCCACTTGAACCCACAACGTCAAAGACCAAGACTGTGCATATAGTTTTAGTATGTTGAACTTGAATACCTGAAACAGCCTAAGCCACATCTTGATATTACGACATTCGGTGGTTCATACAACCAAGATAGAGCACCAAAAAAAGAATATATATGACACAAGACTGTCGGCTCTCCTCCATCTAAACAATTGGCAAATTTAAGGACAAGCATATGCAAACACGAGCAGTCTGGTTGGTGTCTAGAGCAATAAAACGTTATTGAAGGCAACTGAACTCGGCACCACCACACGTGACAAATACTTACAGTATCAAGGTCTACAGAAGCAATAAGAACTTCCACGTCCTGGAGTGAAAATTGAGAGCCTTGTGCCACAACATCACCATTTACAACCACAGATGCACACCCATCTGCCAAAATAACCGTAGAATTTAGTATAAATGATGTTTTCTCTACACAAAAGTAGAGACAGACCAACGAAACTACCTAGCCAACAATGTTCTCTTTCGAAAAGGAATGATCGATAATACGTTGGACAAAGTACACAGTACCATAATATAGACGACCTCCATCACAGCCTTGTTGATTGGCATACAAGTATACTCCTCCAACTTTGCTTGTTGCATGCTGCATAAGCTCCAACCGAGTGTTCAGTTTCCTGAGCTGATGATGGCTTCCACTTCCATTGGCGATTATCTCAACACCATTCAAAGCAAGGTTGATGTGTGGCGAGATTGGGGTAAAAAGCTCTTCACAGGTCTCCGATGCAACAGATCTGAATCATATCACGATTGAAATATATCATCTGACCATCGGCAATGTTTTAAAACCAACGGTGAGGTGGTGCAGTAAAGTTCTCAATTTCAGACAAAGATTACATGACTGTCTTGGATATATATATGCAAAAGCTCAAAAAATATACCTGCCTGGAGAATGATGAAAGGATTAGAGACTCTCTTACGTGTCATCAAATTGTAAGTAACCATCTCCAAATTTCACTGTTTTTTGGCCGTGAATGGCCGAGATGATTTCAGGGAGGTGGTATGTAACCAGCTGACCAGGATTTTTCCACGCTGAAAACCATCGCAGCTCCCTATAGTTCCCATCATTCGCCAAATTCACCTTTGGACGAATCAACAGAAGTTGACCATCGAGACAAAAAGCCCTGCAATTGTATCGTACACCTCCTTGCACAACTGGAAGCCCGATATCGCACACAATGCCATCAGTCAGGCCCGACTTCAAGATTTCACCCAAGCACTCCCACCTGCCACAAATTCACAACTCCTTGATCTGATTCTGCATCCTGAATTGAACCATCGTTTATGCTCGCCTATCACCTATTTATACAATCTACACTTCCCGTTCGAGGCCAGGCACCGCATTCCACACAAAATCTAAATGCATTGAGCAGAATGAAAAGCAGGAAGAAGAAAACGTGCAAACAAATCGACCAAGAACGTGTGAACAAATAGGAAGACTTGGATGAGAGGATGCTTGGATAGCTTAGTTTTTGAGAACTGTAGTTGAAATCCTAAACCGCCGCAGACTTGAATATAGGATTCGTAAGCCATGATTCGCGATCCAAGCAGAGGAGAAATGTAAGACAAACCAGTGCAGTGTATGCTAACGAATCCAAGACAATTCAGCAAGGCCGCGCAGGGAATAATTACGAGTGCGTGCAGGTGTCGAGCTCAAGGAAGTGATCTTCGCAGCCATAACCACAAATCTCCAGCTCCGGACCCACTCTGAGCACTGCACCCGCTTCACGCGCCTTCTCTATCGACGAGCGAATGCGGGCCAAATTTCCAGTGAAATCCATCGCCCATTGATTCAAATTGCAAGTCGCAACCTTCACCAACCTCATGGTTCCAAACTTACCGACCCAAACTAAAAATCTCTCCCTCCAAACAATTCCCAACCTCTTCACCCCTCGGCACACCCTCCACTCCTTCCTTCCTTCCTTCCAGCAGCGCTCGACGCGATCGCTCTCTCTTCTCCTCTTTCCAAAACCTCCGCAATCACGACTCAAATATCGAGAATCTCCGCTTCAAGGACACGGGCCATAGCTCCGCCTGCGCTCTCGCTGCCCTCCTCCAATCCTCCCCGAATCATTCCACCTTCAAAAAGTGCACCCAATTCTCGTCCTCAAACTCCTCCTCGAGCTCGAGCTCGTGCTCGTCCCTCTGCTCTGCTCAAGAATCTCGGCCCGTCTCTAACTGCGGTCGGGACTCCGGAAGGCGAGGAGAAGGCACTCGCTAAACTGGCGAGCGACGCTTTCCTCTAGCTAGAGCTGGAGGGCTTGCTTTCTTTCGGAGGATTCTGGGTCGAGCTAGTTAGTCATCTCCAAGTTTGGAGGGATCCGATTCGTGGCTGCTGTCTGGGGTTAGGGCCGAGCGACCCTGGGTTTAGGGGCAGTCAGCGAAGGGGCAGACAGGGCTTTGAGTTTGTGCAGAGGGCGGAGTGACAGCGATCCTGCAAATTTGCGAGAGCTCGGAATTCGGAATTGTGCGCAGAGCTGCTCCATGGACGTGCTTCGACCTCGTCAGGCGGAGATCCGGTTTTGATGGTGGCTTCGTCGATGCAAGAGTTCGCGGGAGGGCAGGGTTTAAGGTCGAGCTTCATGAATTCGGATGATCCGACGCCTGCTTGAGATTCGGAGGAAGTGAGTGGAAATTGCTTCGAACAAATTTTGGACGTCACCCTCTCTCTAGGTCGAATCGACGCTGGAATTAATTTCGCACTCGTGAGATGTCGAAGTCCTGTAAGGGTCTGGCAGTGGAGCTTGTGAAATGTCTGAGCGAGAGCCCGTGTATGAAGGTACCGTATTTCTGCGCCGACTAATTCTCGCTGTTTTTTTTTGTGTGGTGATTTTTTAATTGCTTGCATGATAGCTCGTCGGTATTTCGGGCCGCATAGTCTCGTAAGCATTAGGTTCTTGGAACCATTGAATCTGACTTTGGATGTTCTCACGCCTCCTCCCGATTACGTAGGAGGAAAACCGATCGTACAGGGATTGTGCTGGCGAAAAGCCTCCTGTCATACCCACCGAATGTGTAGGACTTCGAGAAACTTATTATCAGTGCAAGCGTGGTCAGGTGTGATACTGCACTTTTGTCCTGCTCCTTCATTTCCTCATTTTCTGGTTGATGTGATTGGCGTGATGTCGGTACCTGACTTTGTGAACCTTAGCTAGCGAATGAAGCTTTGGTAGCTTGGGTCCCAGTGATTTTTTGATACCGAGGGAAGAAAGTGGTTACTTTCAAATGGGCTTGAAGCATTCATAAGAGTTGAGTATCCCGATCACTTTTTTCATTTGCGTTCTTGGGTTGATACGAATGATGGGGCCATCCAACTCATTAAACCCATGCTGGCTGCCTTTCTCTCTGGGTCTTGCGATTGTTTCTTGTTCCGAGAAAGGTACCGTGGATCTTCAAAATTGTCAAGGGTAGAAGGTTTGGTGACACGGGGCTGGGGCTCGGAATCTATACAGCCCAGGGGTGTTCAAAATCGGGGTTTTGTGTAAGGGTGTTCTTCATGGAAGACTGTGAATGCTTCTTTTGTGGACACTTGGAAGCTCCGAATAAATCTCATTCAAGGAGAGAAATCTCACGGTCGAAGAGATCCTCTCGACTCTGAATTAGTCTCGTTTTTCCTCTCCCCTTCTTTCCCTCCCGATTCTTCTTTTCTCTTGTCTGTTGCGACATTGAGCGTTCAGCCAGGCTGCACATTCTGTTATCTTCATCTCATGAAAGGAAAGTACCCATCATTACACCTTGTTGTAAAAACCATTATGAACTTTTAAGGCCTTTGGTTTACCAAGCAACCTTAAATATCATAAATCTTGGTGTCTCTTGTCAGGATGGTGCCTTTTTTCTCTTTGCGGAAAAATTGCCACAGGTCCAATGCAGCCCGAGTATTTTAATTGTACCTGCTGCTAAGCTCCCCCTTTAGTTCAATCTATATCATTTTGCTCTCCCACTGCATTAATAGCATGTCAGCTTCAACAAAGCATTCATCTCACAATGAATGCTTTGTTGAAGATCTAAGATCCTAGATGTGGAAGAATTGGGAAACCTCAATACCTCCAAATTGCAGTACCAGACTCCCAGTCAGCTCACAGCACTCTTTTAGAATCTTACAGTACTTTCACGCTTTTTCCGCCTTGTCAGTAGTGCACTCGCACAAGCTAAGAGATATTAACCTAGAGTAGCAGCTCACGCATGCATACTCTATTTGTGATGATCTGATCAAAACCTTGAGATTTCTTGCATTTTTCTTTGTGGTGAATGAATGTTCTAGGTGATCATTGCTCTAGTACTGTTCAACCTGTAACTGTCCATCATTCCTAATACTGATGTTCTTGTGTCTCTTGTTGGACGCGCTTCATAGGTTGACATGAGGACGCGTATACGAGGAAACAAGGGATACTGAGAACTTTCTGTCTGTTCGTTAAATTGACCTCCATTCTCAGCCCACAAAGCAAGGTGTCATCTCAAAATTTACTTTCTATTTACAATTCTTCTTCTTTGCTCCCTTTGTCGTTCGCAACACAGATATCGTGCTCGTAAGGTGATATGAAATGTCTTATACAAGGCTCCAAAAGATTTATATCGTTTTCATATGCCGATCAAGGTTAACGACTTGGTCAACAAGATCTGATTGTTTGCAACATAAATTCAACAAGTATTTTCAAAAGATGGATGTCTTGGAATTGTCTCTTAGTTTTAGTTGTCATGTTTAGTTGCCAGCTAGACTTAATCTCTAGTTTATATTTTCTCCTGTTTTTTATCAGCCCATAGCTGCAGGTTGACGGTATGAACTCAAGTTAAAACCTTGTCGATAAGAGCTGTTGGAGCTATCGGCTGATCAAATTTTCACGTTTCCAAGATCCTTTGCGGCTTTACATCTTCTTTTGTTCAAAAGTGGAGGGAAGGCGTTCAGTGTTCGAAGAATATTACTCTAAAAGTCTGGAGTCTTTTAGGAAAATTGATTTTATATCTACAAACCAAACTCAAGTCAAGATATCTACATTAGTGTGTTGTTTCTTTTCCAAAGTCTGATACTAAGCTTAAGTAGAAATACCTGTGTTTCGGAAGACGGATTCTAATAAATTGAAGGGGCACATTTATTGTCGTTCCAGTTTTTAAATCGTTATCATTCATAACATGCGTATGTGATACAATTGATGCAACGTAGTAGCACTTTTCGTCACAGATATTTAACCAAACAGGCATAACATATCATTTTATTGAATGTTGGGAGGTGTGGAATATACATGAGTATCTGGGCAGAGTGACCTTGTTATTTTTGGTCCTCTTATCTACTGCTTCCTGATTGTTACGCAATGACCCTCATCGAACGTTCTATATCTAGAACGTTCGGAGCATTCAATCTGATTGCGTAATTTACCCACTGTTTATTTGAAGATCGCGAGTTTGGACCTGTCTGACGCTTGAGCATGACCGTGCTTTATCTACTTCCCACTAAGTCACATCTGACCCGATAAATGTATCTGATTGTGGGGTAGTGTGAACCTCACTTACCTTTCCTGTTACTACCATCTGAATTTGGTCTTAGATTTATTATTTATTTGGCGTGGAAATGACAGACCTTACAAGATGTTGGTTCTGGTCGTTTTGGTAGATTAAATTTTTTTTCTTTGGCATAGAAGTGATCCAGTTTCTTGCAGAGTGGGATCTGGATGTTTTGGTGGCATCCGCATTTGGAGATATTTACGCACATTTCCGCGCACTTCATCTGGAGATAGTTATCCAACAAAATCTCTGGAATGAGTGTTGAATTTTTGAGAATTTAATGGCTACATTTTGATGTCGTTGACTTAATGCTTTCGTTGCTTTCGTTGCCTCCACCACTTTTGGTGTGCTTCACTCTCTTCCGAAATGATCACATCGAACATCAAGCGCTCTTTTGATTCAAGTACGTCCAAGTACATTCAACCTTGATCGCTCGACATCACATTCGAATTTTTCGATAGACTGAATCGGGACGAAAATTGGGAAAATATATTCTGTTGATGGACTGTGAAGTATAAATTGATATGAACTCTTGAAGAGAGTGCTCTTCACGAGTTGGAAAAAAATTGTCTTCAAGTTTTGCCTGTCTTTTTATAAGGGAGTAATGTCAATCAAATGTTCACATAGGAATGTGACCTTTTAGCAGACCAAGATATAATTATAGACGTGTAACTTTTTGTCATTGTGTCATGGCTTTTTAAGGTTGATCAATCCTTCCCTTTTTTGCAGTGACGAGAGAAGAAGCCGTCTTCTATGTGTAATGCTTTCGAGACAAGACCCTCCATTAATACTTAGCTTTTGTCGGACGGATCACGTAATAGAAATTTTGTTCGATGCATGTGTGTCGTGTTTTTTATGATAGATAAGATAAACATGCGTAGGTTGTGGTATGCATGTACCGTCTTCCACTGAGAACTTTTCTTTCACTTTTATGGCCGTTACAATGGAGAAACTGCATCAAGTCGAAATCTAGTGCACAGCCCTCAGCTGGCTTTTGTTGTGAATGGATCTCAAGCGAATAATAAGTGACGATTCTTCTTCTCTTAACCGTGAAAAGTATTGGATTTATGAGCTCCAGTTTCGTACATGGATACTTGGAGACGGACTTTGAGCAGAACTTGGAAGTAACTCAGCGTTGGTGATGAACTCAGACGAGCATGTTGATAGACATATATTGTTGGGAGTCTGTTGTCAGAGGTTCTTCTAGTTCGATGTACCCAATGAGCTTTTGCAATCACTGGCAAAAGATTCTCCACTTCTGACCTCCCAGCGGCTGATTGCGAATGAATGTACTCCAACTGACTTGGAGTATAGTTGCCTTTGAGAACCTCCTCTCTGTTCACCACTCAAGTCAAGGGATAGAATTCGACATGTTTACTCTCAAAACCATTTATCAATGAAAGTTACGCCTAGGAAGTTTTGCATTGATGTGCGACGTTGTTATAGTTCATAACGTTTGCATTATCTTAAGAGTCACATAAATGAAGTATCCAATGTACCTTAATAATTTCGGTTTGATTATTTATACAATATCACGAAATCTAGTTTTTTTAAATGAAGTACAAGAATCCTGAAAGCTAGATTTATTACCGTTATGAAGCAAAGGGTTTGAACTATATTAACATTAGTGTACTTTCAAGTAATTACTTTTTCTTTGTGATGTCTAAAAACACATTGTATATTTCTTAGTCACACACACATCTTACGAAGAAATATGGAAATCAGAAAAGTAAAACATATTAAGATGAAACATCTTACATATGAAAATTTTCTGAAAAAATATTTATTTATATATATATAATATTAGTATATATATAAATGGTAGATCATTTCATCCACACATACTTTAAGCTGCAACATTTATTTATGAGATAATCTCTCGATGGCCTAAAATGTGACATATTGCGACCTTCTCCAAGCCACCGCCTCTGATTTAAGGGTTCGTAATATTTACATTCTTAAATGAAATTAAATACTTCAATGATAAATTAGTTGGTCTATCTCAATTGATAGATTTCAATATCTTCGTTTGACGATCTTTCAAAGAGCGCGACTCTAAGGAGTTCGATTAGACTTAAGAGAATTTTCACAAGACTTCTCCCTTCTGAAAAGCCCATACCGGTTGTCCACACAGTGTATTGACGAATAACAGTTCTCGTCATGTATTAGAAGTGATAGTTGTCGCACTTGTAAGGACGTGGAGGTTTTGCATCAGCTGCAGAAAATGTTTTTCTCTAATGAATGCATGAAGTCATGCTTATTTCAATGTTTGAAATACACTAGTCTAAGGATATTATGAAAACACAGCCGTTTTATATGTTTCTTCGATTCAAGTGGACCCCAATTACAATACAAGGGTGCTAATCTGACGGTTTTGGATTTACATGCGAGAACATCCTTGCTGTGAGCCATGTACCATGAAAACAAAAATTAGTCGCGGACGAGCGTAACCGCGAGCAAGACTACAACTAAGCTAAGGGACGCATTGAGGGCACATTTGAGGGGAAACATCACAAGAAGGCTCATGTTTTCCTTCATGAAGACCAAGCAAAAAGCAAAATTGACGGGAAAGCTCTATCGAGCCATACAAGGAAGAAACCACTCGTATGAAGGAATATGTCAAACAGCCGCAGGTCTATATGAACTATCACTGAGAAGAAGTTAAAAGATAAGAGCCTGAAAGAATAACTCACGTAATTAATATATACTTAGCGGAGATGGGGTGACTTTATCGAGCACTACAAGTATGGAACCCAAAAATTTACCAGTGGTTGGACCCAGTAGTATGAAGAATATGTCATACTCCAACATATATATTTGAACTATCATTGTCAAAGAATATCTAACTTATATCCCGAGCAAAGATGATATACCTCTATCAGGTACTAAAAGTTTGAAACGGAATTATGTATGCAGGTGTTAGACCTCAGGTGTATCGAGAATAATTGTATACTACAACACATATATTTTAACCATTAAACAGTCTAGAAAGACAATAACATCTGAAAGAGCATCATATGTAAATCACTTGCAATTCAAATTTCTAAATCACTTTTCCTCCTTTCATTCTTCCCATTCCCGAGAGGCCGTGTCCTACGAATGCAGCAAGCAAACCAATCTGTCACAGCATAAGTGCCTCTAATTTGTACCGAGAGAATGAATGAATGCCTGTAGGCTGGCTCGATAGCTAGCTACATACTGGTTCATGGAGTGATTTCTTGCTACTTATAACGAGGTCAACCCAGTACCATGAAAGGTGATGCGTCCTTCATTTCTTCCGCCCTTCCGTTACATACCCTTGTCCAACCAGCGCACACGCTCCGTCGACGACTAGCACCAAAATGGAGGAAATGTCGTTAAAACTTAGCTGGATGGTTGGGAGACAATCTGACCAATCAAGTGATCGACCCAAATTGTTGTCATCCTAGAACCCAGCACATCTCGATTTCTTCCCCCCTGGGGAATGGAGCTCTTGCTCGTGAGTACCCACCCACTCACTCACTCACTCACTCACTTTGTCTTTTTAGCGGAGTCTGCGGGCGGAGGCTGTAGCTTGTGAAGTACAGATTGGCTGCAGTTGCTGCTGCTGCTCCTATAGCTACGAAGAAACAGGGAAACCAGGCTAACTAACCCTCCTCCTCCTCCTCCTCAACACAAGAGCCGTGGATTAATCATCTCGTGAATCGTTGCCATCATTCTCATACTTTCGTTCAATATGTGCTTCTCTCATGGCACAATCATTCTGCAAGGAAAGTGGGCGAACTAGCCATCGCCATAGCTGAACTTGGCCCGGCTCAAGAAACGTGAATTCTGTAGAGTAAGTCAGATTACAGATTTGTTGGATATGTACCAAGTCTGGATAGTCTGGTGAAGGAAGGTGAATGGGGTGTTACTATCCAGCACGTTAAGAGCAGGAAAGTGACGGTCGGGTCCTTCAAAAGTTACAGTGAACTTCGTTCAAAAGGAAACTTGTGTCGTGATTCCACCGAAACATTCTTCCATCCTTCGAAGAAAACGTGGAAATAATCGAAAAGCAAAGATTGGAAAGCGTCTTGAGATGTGCAAAAAAATCTCGAAAGTGTAGTTTTACTCTCTTCATGATCTATAAGTAACAGTGCTGCATCAATTGATCATCAATTAGTTTTTTTTCCAGTCATTGATGTATCATATTGCTAGAACCTCTGATGGAACCATGATCCTTGAGTCAGTGCATCACGTAACTTCTCTCCAAATCGCCTCCCCCTCTACTTCTACCGACCTACTCATCTCAACCCGCTTTGCGCTGATTAGTTCGTTAATTCACTACAACCTTCTCTCGAGAGAAACGATCCCAAGGTCTAGGATTCTCGTCGTACAACCCTCGAGCTCTACGGCCTCTAAAATCAACTGAAAGTATGCCTCACTCCTCCCTCACCCATAGCTGAGCTACTCGGAGTTGACCCAGCACCCACTTGCATCTCACGTACTGGCTGCCTCTCTAGATGTTGTTGTGGTCCTAGGACAATGATCCAATGATCCAATCGAGCAAACGTTACCGATTCAGTAACAAGCACGTGAACCGAACGAGAAAGTGAGCCTCGCTCGCGCATTCTCCATCGT